CATCAGGCTCCCTGCTTGGCGGGAGGCCTGCTTCTCCCTCTCCCACTCCCCCTGCTTGTGTTCCTGCTCTCGCTGTCAAATAAATAAAATCTTAAAAAAAAAAAAAAAGGGAACGGGACAGAGGTCTTGGGCAGTGGAGGGGGGGGCCTCTGGGAGATCAGGATTTGTCCTAGCACAATAATTCATGCCCCTTCAGCAAAGAGGCCGGAGACCAGCAGGAGACAGGTATGGCTCATCATCAATCCTACAGACAAGTCTCCAGCGGGGAACCGGGCGCTCACACCGGCTGCAGCGTGGAGCGGATGGCAGGAGTCTCGTGAGTTCTCTGGGTGCTCACAGGACAGACGTGGAGATTCACGAGACCCTTTGCTGTGTTAAGACTCACACGCAGCGTGAAACTGGAATGGTTTACAGGCAGTGGTAGCAGAGGCTTAAATGATGAACGATGAGGAGAGACCCCAGGAAAATAATAGCTGTTATTTACTAATGAACGAATACCATGAAAACAGATGAAAGAAACAGCTTTTTCTCTGAAGGACAGAGGAGCATACAATAACCACCAAGAGACAGAGTTTGAAAAGTATATAACAGATTTCTTTTTAATTTACAATCAAGTTCTGTTGGGCAACATAATTAAATAAATAAAAGATGCGCCCTGGCCTGTGAATTCCACCCCCCTTGAGCTCTTGGAGCAGTAAGCTGGAAAGGGGGGGGGGCCGGGGAGGGAGAGAGGGATGGACACAGCGCCCCTCCTCACCCAGCTCCAGCACTCATACCCACAGCTGTCCAGAGAACAAGTGTGGAAGGAAAAAAATAAAGTGCAAATTAAAAAGTGATGAAAGTATTGGTGTTTCAGTCACTCAGGAACTAAAATGATATACACAGGTAAAATGGTAAAGATAAATGTTAAAAAAAAAAAAAAGCCACAGGCCAGTTTTTCCCTGGCCTCAATCAGAACTCCTGAAACTTGAAGACGACGTTCCCATGCTTCTTGGAATGGGCTTCTCGAACTAAAGCACCGAGGGGGTATTGCACGTAGGCTTGGCAAAGGGGCAGTGACCCGGAACTGCTGGCTCCAGGCTAATACATTCGAGGCTTCCAATCCCTTGTCACCAGCAACTGTCACCGAGGCACACGGGGCGGAGGAAGGTGGTGTGCGCCTCGCCCACTTTCTGGGAGCCTAGAGATGGCCACAGGGCCATCTGCAGCAGCCCCGCTTCCCTGCAAGGTTTCTGCACTTCCTCTCCTACCTCCAGAAAGTATTTTGTAACCAAACTGAGATTTACTTCTCAACCAAGAAATAGGTGTGTAGCATCGTTAGGGAAAAAGGAAGCCCGAAGCTTTGAAGAACAGCTGCTTTCTAAGAACGGTTTAGGAGATCTAAGGAAATTCCAACAGTAATCAGATGAGATCAGAGTAAGAGCCTCGTAATTATGACAGAGACCAGCAGGGAGGACCATGGTCCTGTCATCTCCTCAGAAATCAGGGCAGTCCCTGTGGGCTGAGGGCAGGGGTAATCCTGTTTGGGTTTCTGTTAATCCAATGATTCAAGTGAGTTCACCAGGAAAACCATCCCAAGGTGACAGGACATGCATTGGGCCAGAACCGACTCTGGAAGGACGGGAGAAAGCACGGAGGGAGAACCGACAGCCGCACGTGCGCGTGGGGCGTTCTTGGCCCTGTCGGCCAGTGAGGAAGCCGGCAGGTGCCCGTGCTCCCCCCCACTGAGGTATGGAAGATCAGAGCCAGTAGTGTTTCCCACCCGAATCAAGGCAAGGCAAGAACCTGAACCTCTGCTAAGTGACTGCAGGGCCAGATTTTTTCAGTGTTATTCTTTCAGGCCATGAGAGACCTCAGCTGAAATCCTCAGAAATCCTGTTCAAAGGTAGGCCACGGCACCACGCGGCTCCAGCTCGTCTCTGGAGGTCGAAGCTACACCCAACACACCACATGCAGGACAGAGCCCGCAGGGGCTCGTGTGCTTCGCCGGCTTCAGCTCCTCTCTCTCTCTCTCACTCTCTCGGGGGTGCCATCAATACTCTGACCATAGCACAGCTTTGCTTCCTTTGTCCACACTGACGACGTGGGAGCCGGAGGGGGACCACGCCACTGCATTGATGGACGAGCTTCAATGGGAGAGGTCAAAACATCTGTGAGATCTTAGTGAACTGAACGCCAGGCCCCCTGACATTCAGGGAGCAAGGCTTTCTCCAACGCCCAGCTTGCTCACCAGGACTGCTGCCCCTCACAGGCAGGCCCTTGGGAATGAGCATGAGAACTCAAAGGAACCCTGCACTGTACTTCAGGAAGCAGTTTAGGAATGAAAGGAGTCAGGTTGTACCAAGTCTACCCTAAGGCAGTAGCTCCCACCCTCCGACAAGAGCCTCGGGGGACCGACTGAGGAGTGGACTGTGGCCACAGCCCCTGGGAGCAGGGAGAGGTGGTTCTGGAGGAAAGCCCCGTCTCTGTTCCAACTAGCAGTTGAGCTTGGGTGGAGAGAACAAAGCTAAGCAAAACAGGAGCCCGGGGGAGGACTGGAAAAGAGTCTATGAAAATCTATGTTTACAACCAGACTCTCCAAAGAGAGAAGAAGAAGCAGAGAGGAAAGAGGGAGAGGCGGCGCTAAATAATCAGAGAGGATGCTTTCCTAACCTTTCTCCAGCAGCCACTACTCGAAGGGCTCTAACTGGACAGCCTGTCACATCACTAAGCACGAGCGGCCCCGGCCTCTCCCCACTGCCTCTGCTCACAGCGGAGCCAGCGAGCGCACACTGTCCTCCCGGGGCTGATTCAGTCCATGCCCAAAGGGGGCAGGATCCCAGGATGAAGTCACAGCATCTCCACACAACCTCAGGGGGGCTATCATCAGGGTTCCCCTTACCCATGCTGCTTGGAAAGGACCTTCTCCACCTTCCCCGAAAGTACGCTCCAGATGTAGAGAGAGCCCTCAGCCGAGCCCGCTGCCACATAACCACCATCAGGGCTGTGGAACAAGACCAGAAAAGTGTCAACCGCCCACCCCCAATTCAGCATCCCGTGGGAGAAGCGCTGGGCAGGCAGAGCGAGAACTAGGAAAGGAGACCGCCCTTCTGCAGCTTCCCTAGAAGCTCTCCAACAGCTTTTTTTTTTTTTTTTTT